TACATACTTTTGATGTTTTGGAAATGCTGTTGAGCTATTGTATGTTAGTGCCTTGTTGATATGTATGGAGGTGTTCCACCTATACGGTAAGCCTGAGTATGTAGAACATACAAGAGGGTGAGGCTGTGGGTGAGGTGCAAGCGGTGTTCCTTGTACTACATATAGGAAATAGACATATTCCTACATTTCTCTGGCCAGTAGATAGTGATAAACACACATGCCATAGATATCTGTTGCACTACATAGTTTTGGAACTGAAAATGATATAAATGCTTTTAGAACTTATATTGCACATGTAAGTGAGCTTGGGGTGGAAGATCCTTGAGGACCCCTTGTCTTACTGAGATTTCTAGTTTAGAGATCTCACCCCACGTTTGGGGAATGCTTATTCAGGGTCAGGTAATGCTGAGACCTCAGGCGGCAGGAGGCCGAGCTGAGTTAGATTGCTATTATATTATGCTGTCATGCTTGGATGTTGGATTTGCATACTGTTTATGCTTATAGCTTCAGTTATGTTTATGGAGTTTTACGTTGAGACCTGTTGTTTACTATGTTTATTTGGTGAGCATGGGGATTGTCCATGACACATAGTATTGTTATGTCTTGATTATGTCTTGAGTCTTTTGAAGTTGTAATAATGTATCAGGATATTGTCCGGATTACTTGATGTAATGTCGTGATTTAGATACACACTTTATTTATATATTGAGGTATTTCAGTAGATGTCTTATTGCAATTTACATACAGGCGATATTTTATGAAATTGATTAAGTAATCAAGTTGGTAATTGATAATGACATCATAATTGAAAAGAAAAAGAATATTCCGCATTTTTAATTAAGCACCGCTTAATACAATGTCATGTTAATATTCCGAGTATACACGGGGTGTCACAACACACATGGCATGAATATTTGTTGCACTGCATAGTTTTGGAACTAATATTGATATAAATGCTTTTAGAACTTATATTGCACATGTAAGTGAGCTTGGGGTGGAAGATCCTTGAGGACCCCTAGTCTTACTGAGATTTCTGGTTTAGAGATCTCACCCCACGTTTGGGGAATGCTTATTTCAGGATCAGGTAATGTTGGGGTTGAGACCTCAGGCAGCAAGAGGCCGGAGCTGAGTTAGATATTGATGATATTATATGCTGACATGTTGGATGCTGGATATGCTTGCTGCTTTTCTGATTTTAGCTTCATGTTATGACTTTGGATTATCTTGTTGAGACTCTGTCGTTTATGCTGTTGATTTGGTGAGCATGGGGATTGTCCATGCCACGTAGACTTGTTATGTCTTGTTTTAAGTAGAGTTGTATTAATGTATCAGGATAATGTCCGGATTACGTGATGTAATGTCGTGACTTAAATACTCATTTATTTATATATTGAGGTATTTCAGTATACGTCTTATTGCAATTTACATTCAGGCGATATTTTATGAAATTGATTAAGTAATCAAGTTGGTAATTGATAATGACGTCATAATTGAAAAGAAAAAGAATATTTCGCATTTTTAATTAAGCGTAGCTTAATACGATGTAATGATAACACTACCGGATATATACGGGGTGTTATATTGATCAACCCATTCCTTTGTGTTACATGCGTTGTCATCGTAAGAAGCCTGCGTGGCAACCCTGGAACACCGATTGTAAGCCCTTAGCCCTATGTTGTGGCTGCAGTGTTGACTGCTCCATGGACAAGAGATGGCAGTGAGTAAAATGTGAAGATTAGAGGACTTAAGGAAAACAGACTTAAGTATTTTGTCTGACTTTTGATAAAATTTATAAAATTGTATTATAAGTAAAAGTGGTAAACAAATTTATGATATGTACGGTATTAGCATAGGCGAACTTGTGGTACTGTGAATAATAAACATATAATTGAGATTAGTTTATAATATGGAGATGGTATTGGTGAAATTTCCAGGTATATGTGGAGTATAGCAAAGCAATTATGTACATGTGGACTTGGCGAATAGACTTTATTAAGGTGAGAGACTTAGAGCCTGATGGATTATTGAAAAATGAGAACAAATATGCTTAAGTATGAGTTGGAATATGTTATGTTCGATTAGAAGTTATAAGACTGGGGTAGATGGTTTACACTTGAATGAATTGGAATGGTTAATGTAGAGAAATAAATAGGATATTTGACGTTTAATCCTAAGGGATTCGACCGCTTGAAATTATTATGTTAGGGAAGTGTTAATTGAAATATGTTGAAATATGGAAATTAAGTCCATACGGAGGTAGTGTTGAGTAAACATAGGGAGTAGATATCTATCTCCATCTTGTGATGTTGCAATCAAAAGAGTTCCTTTGTACTTCCCATACAGATGAGTGTCTTCAATTTGAATTATAGGCTTACAGTATTTGAATACTTCAATGCATTGGTGAAATGTCTAAAAATCCTATGAAATATGGCACTGTCCGTATAAACCCGACGTCCGTCAAAACGTTGATTCGTATAAAGCTTGAACACAGAACCCACATTCACCTGCGTCATATACGTCAGCTAATTGGGCAAGAATCCATACGATTTCTCCCGGTCACCATATAACTTAACAATGGCCTTCATTTTTGCCTTCCAAGCCTTCCTGTACGTTATGTTGTATCCATATATGTGTTGTATCCTCTCTTGTATCAGAACTGGTTTTAAAGATGGATCTTCCTTTAACAGATCTGTAAAAAAAACCAACTTTAGAATATTCTCAAAAAGAAAATTTCATTAAGTACACAGTACAATACATACTCATAATAGTCGCACAAATGACATCTGAATCCAACTGTCTATGATCCTGTGCTAGGCCCTGATTCAGCAGGTGTGGTCTTGGCCCCATTTACGGACCACCCAATTAGCTCCCTTCTTAGGCTTGATTGCCCTCATATATCAGGGACAAACGTCAGCATGGTTTTTACACTTCATAACAAATCTGGACTCGTCACTTTTTTCGACTATGGCTGTCCTGCGCCCCTTCATACAATGTATCTTCACAGCATGTTGCATTTTAGGTTTGGAGCCAAATTCCTGTTGCACAAATAACGAATCTCCTAACTTCCAACCTTCGTGCAAGTCATCATCCCCATAGAGGATCTCCAACTCGTCATTAGGGTGCGCCCAATTAATGAATGAATAATGTTGGCTTTCATTCCAAAATGGCACTACCTTAGTCCCTGCATCTAAAGAATCATTATTATTGTCTGAAGCAATACCACCGCAAATAATAATTGTTCATTGCAAATTAAAATTTAATAACTTACCACTAGTGACTGGGTCAACATGAAGTGGTGACCTGGCTGGGGTACCCAGGCTTACAGCGCTCGTGTCAGCATCAAAATTTGCGTCCACGTCAGTGTCTGATGAATCACCTTGTGGAATATAACTTTTAGGTTCTCCCTCATCTTCGTTGTCCACATACTCCTCCTCTTCATCCTCACCCAATGTTATCTGGCTTAACACCTAAGCATGTGCAAATGAACGTACAATTGTATCTTCTTGACCAGTACACTATGCAGTGGTTGTATGCACCGGTAAAGATGAAGACTGACCAACATCAACTTCAACATATATCTCAATCAATTTTAATACTTTCCAGCCAACAAACGCATCTGTTACGAACTCCACATCTTCATCATCATTGATATCGTTACCAATGTAGTATGTTGTATCCATATCCACTACAATCTCTAACCTGGCTATCATGCGATGAATGGATTGGATGCCTTCTAACCCCAATTTTTGATGAATTCTCTCCTTCAGTTTATTGCATGTAGTGGCCACTTTGATTTTCATTGTTTTTGTTTTTCCTTCAAATTGGACACCGTTTGGACCTTCAAAATGCCTCCCATTGTAGTAAATAACTACGGGAAACATGTTTGGACTGGAACTCATCTTTCACACGAAAATTGGGTCTAGGGTTTCGGTTCGGATTTTTGAGCAAAAAATGGGAATATGGAGGTGTAATGCCAATGTCCTCCCAAGATTAACCTTTTTGAGATGATGGGATGAAATACATGTATGATGATTCAGAATAAAGATGTCAAGGGAGAGAGATTTGGGGGAGGGGGGAACTTATAACTCATAACAATAGCCGAAACCCATTGATGTTGGAGTTTCTGGCCGACAAATACCCGGGTATCCCCCTCCCTACCCGGGTAAATAACTGCATACCTGGGTATCCGGATGCCTTACCCGAGTAAAAATTCAACATGTGTAAGAACAGATTTATTTCGCGAAATATACCCGGGTAGGGAGGGGGATACCCGGGTATCTTAATTGTCAACGATCAAACAGGGGCAGATTGGTGTTATGTTTGTGGAAAAGGTTAAATTTTTGCAATAGTCTATAAGTAAGGTCAATTTGATAATTAATTATTAAATAAAGACTACAGTGATCAAAAAGCCGTAAATGAAATGTTTACCCCGAAACAAAATATGTGAAGCTATCAACTAGATTAAACAGAAAAAGGAGAAGAATTAAAAAAAAACTAATATTTACTATCTTCTTCATATATACGTTTTTTTTCTTCTCAAATAAATATATCAAAAACCAAAATAAAAGATTAAATTGGTCAAAGTTCTATTTCTTAATTCGATTGATTCAATTAATTAAATTAATATTTTAACCGAATCATATTAAATAATATAATAAAATTAATTAAACCAAAAGTGTTTGGTTCGCAAATGACTTTATCATATTATATCACATATGATGGGATGCATTACTGGTAACATAAAACAACGTTAAAAATTAAAAATGTGCATCTCAAACGCAAACAGTGCCCCAAAACTTTCGATTTTCCATAACATGAGATCTCAGTTTCCATACCAACGAAACAGATTAGAAAAAAAACAACAACCCCGTTAGTTAATATATTTTATAATTTTGCCATTAACAAAAAGGTTATGTGATGAGGGTCATCCAAAGCGAGCTGAGTGAGAATTGTTGTAGTCTCGTTGATTGAGCTATCAAAAGGTGCTGACATTGTGGTTTCTAACGATAGCCCATCTCCTTACTAGAGAGGTCGCTGCTGTCACCAAATTCCTGGCTTGACATTATTGCCTTCCTGAATTTTGCCATATCAGCATTGTATTGCATTGTATCATAGTCTGAGCTCCCAGATGAAGATGTGTAAACACTGCTTTGCCCTCCAGACTTCATCATCCCCTCCTTCAAGTCTTCCAGTGATACATCTCCTTCCAATGCTCTTACTATCTGCACATATATAATTAAGTGATCAATATATATAAATTCATATGTATCACTATTTTTTCAAGATGTACATGCATGTCCTCCAATTAAAGCTATGATTTCAGATTACTAAAAAAAAAAAAAACTATGATTTCTCAAACATAATTAAAACTATGCCTTTTTTTTTTTTTGAAATATTTCAATCGGTTCATTGCTTCGCAACTAATCCGATTCGGGGCGGGTCCAAAATTAAGGCTTTAAACCCCTCCCAAAGGTGGTACTGGAGAGATTCGAATACATGCTCCCACCTCCATCTGCTTAGCTCCCATGCGCCAACTGAGCTACCACCATTTGATCATATTATGAAAATATATATATATATATATATATATATATATATATATATATTGGATTAATCGTATTATGAATATATAGCATCAAGTTCCCTCTCTTCAAGGTTTTATAAATGGCAATATTTTGGTCATAATATTATTTAGTCATATTATGAATATATATATTTTTTTGGATTAATCATATTATGAATATATAGCATCAAGTTCCCTATCTTCAAGGTTTTATAAATGGCAATATGGCCATTAATTAACTCGTCTGTCTTCGTGTATGTGTACCATATTATTATGAGAGGAGAGGCAATCACGTCTCAATACAAAACTTCAAAGAAAATAAATTTATGAATTCTTTTATGGGTTAAAGATTTATCATGTTACATGAAAATAATTTCTCTTCCGATACACAAAATGTGAGAAGAAATTATTCTTATGTAACATGATAAATCTTTAATCTTTTTTTTATTTATATGATACTTAATTGATTCATGATCAATGTGGTACTTAATTATTTATCGTTTGCACTTGAATTTACCTGACTCATTTTTGAGCGCTTCTTAGCCGAATGACGAATGCTTGCAGCAGCACAGGCTGCCATCCTTGTCATTTCTTGACTATTGTAGTTGCCCTCCAAAAATGGATCAACCAACTCTCCAAAGTTGCCATCTTCCTCCAGCCCACGACTCAGGAGTGGTCGAGCCTGTTTGTTACACAGTTTCACAATGATTTTCATATAAAAAAAAAAATAGTTGTAGGACAACTAAAGAACTTGAAAACCGAAATGCTTTTTGGGGTACTACTTCACTCTAAACCGCAATATATTTGAAATCTACAGCTTTGCACAATGACAAGGAGAAATATATATATATATATATATATATATATATATATATAAAAGTTATATTTATAAACTATTATAAACTTAACTATACACTAAGAGTAGTACATAAACTAACTCATGAACTACTTTTAGTATATAGTCAAGTTGGTCTATGTACAAACTTAACTATAAAGGTAGTTCATGAGTTGATTTATGTAGTACTACTCTTAGTGCATAGTTAAGTTTGTAAGAGTTTATAAATATAATCTTTATATATATATAGTACTAACCCAGTCCACTAAGCTATCGTCCATGGTATTTGTCAGATCCACAGGTCGCTTCCCAGTTATGAGTTCCAATAGCATGACCCCAAATGAGAAAACATCAGATTTCTCTGTCAATTTTCCACTTGATGCATATTCTGGGGCCAGGTACCTGTATTAGTGTGCAAATCTTGGTTAAGCTGGACTAATTTATTTAAACATATTTTTTTTCACAAGTAGCAGCTCCTAACCGTAAGAAGGATAAGACACTAGCTGAATGGTGAAGTTGATGGGTGTTAGGGGGGAATCATGTATGTCATTGAGTATATTGTAGTTAAAAGTGCATTTTGAATAGTTAATGTCACAGATTACGTTTGTCTGAAGAAAATTGACCACGTTCTACTTATGATCAGAGCAAAACTCTTTCTTTGTTAGAGTTACTACAGGTATTAGCTAGAGAGCATGGGATGGAGAATTACCCGAATGTTCCCATGACACGAGTTGAGACATGCGTATTGGTATCAGTAGTCAACTTAGCCAATCCAAAATCAGACACCTGATTAAGATGAATCATTGGAAAAATCAATTAGCTTCAGCAACAAAAGATTGGTAATGTGTGATAGCAAGAGATTAGTTAAATTGGGTAAGTATGTAGACAATAAACTTTATTAAGAAAAAAAAAATGGATTTGTTTTTTCTGTAATAAATACATATGAATTATCTGTATTGAACTTAAAACGTCGTTTTAGATCAAAATCAAGATATTTTTATAATTATAATTTATTACAAGATTATAAAAGTTTTTATAATTATAATGTTTTAATTTTTCAATTCAAAAGGATATCATTTTGGAAGTAAATGTAATAACTTATATGTATTAGAAATGTTAAAGCAAAAAAAAAAAAAAAAAATTATGTAAATATGTGAAACCTTAGCTTCGAAGCTATCATCAATGAGGACATTAGAAGCTTTAATATCACGGTGGATAATGCGAGGACTACCTGAGTTCATTTGTAAATAAAGCAAATATATGAGAAAGATAATGGAAGGAAAGAATGAACAAAATAAGGATCATATATAAGATGGATCGAATATTACAGTCTTCATGAAGGTAGGCAAGCCCTTTTGCGGATCCTAGTGCAATTCGCATTCTAGTAGGCCAATCCATGGTAGGCACACCCTTTCCTATGACCATCAAATACATTAGAAAATTTTATTACTATTTACTAGGAACAATCATAACAAAAAAAAATGTCTGAAATATATGTTCCCCAAATTATTGCTATTTATTTGTACTACATAAAAATCACCCTAGTAAACCCTCACTAGTAAGAATAAGGGTGAGGACAATCCTTCTATGCAATCTTACATTTACATATTTACAAAGAAATTATTTTTTATATTCGAACTCATAACCTTTTGATTACAGGAAAATAATTTTAGCACTGCTCGAGAATCATCCTCATTTAAGCCTAGATTGTAAATCAAAAGCAAAACCATAAATAGTACTTACCATGAAGGTGATGTTCCAAAGTTTGGTTGGGAACAAATTCATAGACCAACATTCTCTGCTCTCCACAAATACAGTATCCAACAAGTGACACAAGATGTCGATGATGAACACGGCTAATGATGTCAATCTCAGCTTGGAACTCTCGTTCTCCTTGTCCACTACCTGCTTTGAGACTCTTAACTGCCACTTCTTTTCCATTAGGCAATACTCCCTTATGGACATAACCGAATCCACCCTGTCCTATAATATTCTCATTTGCAAATCCTCTAGTGGCTGCTGCTAATTCCTCATAAGTGAAGGTACCCCCCTTAAGTGTAAGAGCAAGGCCTGGAGAAGGAGGAGGTAGAGAACCTGGTCCCATTCCCATTGAGTAATTGGAACTCATGTCACCACTGTACATTAGAGGAGGTGGTGGACCCCAGCTACCATTAGGAGGACCCATCATTCCATTAGGTGATTGGTGTATCCTTGCAACATGATCCGACCCATGAGGACCCTGACCTGATTGCCAACTAGGGAGAGGGTGCTGGCTACTGTTGTAGTAGTTACTCCCTGTGCAAGTTATTTTGGAACCCGTTAAGTATCAACCACTTATTTAATTTGATTGGTTGTGTCAAAGATAATTTTAAAACAATCAAAGGAAAGAGAAACCAACATTATTTGAACCAAACATTTTAGCGTCAAGAAAGTCCTTGCTCTGGAGTATAAATAAACAAGTCTAATTAAGAATGAAGTATCGGTATTCATATTCCAAGTTCTTCCATATATAACAATCATTCTCAATAGGATATAAGTATGCAATAATGCCAAATATGATGATCATAATAAAGTTTTTCCTCGTTTGGCATAGGGAATAGTTATCTATCAGTGTTCATATTCCAAGTTCTTCCTAAACAATCATTCTCAATACGATATAAGTATGCATTATGCCAAATATGATGACCATAACAGTTTTTTTTTTTTTTTTTTTCCCTTTTTTGGCATAGTGGATAGTTATGTATCTTAACATCTCCTCTAACACCCGAGGTTCACTGGAAAATCTGCAGATTGGCCTAGCCGAAGCATGTGGAATCTCTAGTATCATGTAATGATAATTATGCCTAACTCAACCTCAAAGCTAGCTCACACGGTAAAAATTGCGCAAACATTATGTTGTGGACCAGCCACATTGGCCAGCCAGTCACTAAAGTTCAAATTGGGGGTCACTCCCCCTCTATCCCTAAAGTGAGAATTTTATATCCCGAATCTCATTTTTTTTTTTTTTTGGAGTTACCCAACCCTAATTATCTCTTTGAGACGAGTTGGCTCCTTTCGGTATCCCCACGAGCTTCGACTCTTTGAGCCGGCTATGAGACTAATCCGGAGTGCGGGGGAACAGTGATGGCTAAAGGTTCAGCCCCCTCCCCAAAAATGCATTCAGCGGGAATCGAACACATATCCAACCCCACTAACTCAGCGCCAAATTACCAACTGAGCTGCACCCATTGCACAACCACAACTTACATCTCACGTTTTAGATGAGCGTACTTGCCTCGTACACAATGAGAGTCACTAGGATCAAATCAATTATAGAAAAATTTCTACAATACTCTCGTCCCACTCACTTTTCTATACATTCCTCCAATAAAACCAAACAACAATGCTAATTGATGACATGGAAGAGAGAAAAAAATTATCTTAAATACAGATGTAAGAAGATAAATGGCAATAGTACATATTACTATTATACTAAAAATGAGCTTCAGTTATGGGATTATTCTCTCACTCTTTATTGGAGAATTTTTCTCACCTATAAATACCCCTATTCAGCCCCGTTGAAGAGGTATCATCTATACATTAATTAGAGAGTTGTTACTCTAAAATACACCCAAAGTCATTGTGCCCTCATTACACATTCCCTATTTGTTCTCAGCTTTCACCTGACATTATTTCGGGATGACTCTTCACTTAACTTTGATCTATATATACCATTGCCTCACAGATCATTGGTACATGAGATGTTATACCTCTTCAATGGAAAGAGCATTATTCTTGTCTCTACACACAAATAGTTCCAATTACAAAAACCGATATGGGATATCTTAACAAACACTATACAACTAGATTCCCATGGGTTTTACACGCATTGTCTATGCAAAATTATATGGCATGCAGATATAATTGCTTAAACCTAAGTTAGGTGTATGAAGTCAATATTACTACAAATTATAATAGATTATAGTAATTTATGTTGCACTGACACCGACACAGGATATGTGATACGACACCACACTTGTTAATTTTAAAAAATACTAAATTTCGATACGATTTGATATTAAATAATATTTTTAATGTATGTAATTTATATTATATTTAATATTCAATAATTTAACAAAAAAATAAAGCTAAACTTATAATACCCATCAATTAGCAAAGAAACATAACATATCACAAATATTTATATTAAAGTCAATAAAATGATAATCATAATTTAACGAATCTAATAGTTTGAACTAAAAACGCAAAGCAATGCAATCTTCGATTTTTTTTTTTTTTTGAGTCTATGCAACGCGTGTTGAAACATCAGGAAGTATCGAACACGACATGTTATATTTTTTTGAAGTGTCGGTTTCTCATAGATAGTAACAAACCATTAACAGTTAATTATTAATTAATAATGCAATCAGCCTTCAGGTTCTATATATTAAGTTTACGTAACATAACATATATGAAAGTACAACTCTAGAGGCAATACTAGACTTGTTGTTACCTTGTCCATGGGAAGCTTCTCCGTAATAGTACTTTTGCTTTCGTTTCTTCTTCCTTGACCAAATGAAACAAAAAACGACCACAAGAAGAAGAACAAACCCTACTCCAAGCGCAGCTCCAACTGCTGCTTTGCTGTCATTCTCCTGGCTCTGTTTTCCATTTGATATCGATTTGTTTGGTGCTGCTGGTGGTGGTGGTGGTGGTGTAGTTGAAGACTTACTCGGCACTAAAGTAGGTGATGATGAGGAACTAGCAGCATCATTAGGTTTAGAATTATTAGGTGTAGAATTATCAGGTGTGGCATTATCAGGTGTTGAGTTATCAGCTGTTTTATTATCAGGTGTTGAGTTATCAGCTGTTGAATTATCAGGTGCGGCATTATCAGGTGTTGAGTTATCAGGTGTTGAATTATCAGGAGAGGAATTATCAGGTGTTGAGTTATCAGGAGCGGCATCATCAGGGGTTGTGTTATCAGGTGTGGCATTATCAGGTGTTGCATTATCAGGAGAAGAGTTATGAGGGGAGGAAGACATTGTTGTTATGGGTTTCCGGCCAAAAGGTTTTTACGTAGAAAACCACAACGATGCCGGAAACGCCACCTTTTCCCCCTAGCTACCTACTCTTCTCACAATGATTGAGAACCCTGACAAGAAAGAGTTTAGAAAATTAAAAGATAAAAAACAAAAAAAGTTAGAGACAAAACCAGATAAATAATGTTTTTTTTTTTTTTATGTCGTACTTTTTTAATTTTCTTATTATTTGAGAATATTGAGGATGAATTGTGAAGAAAAGTTACCTGGATGGGGAGACCTAGCAGGGTTCTCCAAAGAAAGAAAGAAAAGGAAGAAAGTGTTGCAGGGTCAAGTAAAACCCATAATACAAAAGGAACCGTTCATGTTCCTTCCTCAATGGTCTCCTACAAAGGAGGACCTATGTCTCTGCCACCTCTTGCTTGGTTTTGATGAGTCATTTATAGGTTTTACCATTTTCTGGTTGGTGTTTATTTGATCTATCAACATCCAACCATAATTTGCTTTAAGGAATCACCTAATTAACACATAACAAATATTAACCTGAAATAGCCTACCAACACCCACCCAAATAAGGTAGTAGCAGTACATTTAGCAAAAACAATATACAAAATTATTGTGAAATTTGAAAGGCTTCATAATAATATTTTCGTCACACCAATGATGGAGTGCAATATTTACACAAACTACTTATTTATGATAACATATATTTAGCCAGTGCTGATTGCTCCTCACTTATGGTATTCCCTCTACCATAGATTTTGATTTGTTCTATATGGCCTCGATGAAAGCATGTTAAAATGGGTTAGCCCGAATGTTGTTAAAAAATAATCAAGAATTGGAAAAGAAAAGAAAAGAAAAATCAAGTTAGAAGTAATATTCTTGATAATTCGTTGAGCAATTAAAATTAATGTGTATATGAATTTGATGTTGGAATTGGGCAAAATAAATACAAATGTACGCATGTTGACAACTTTGGTTAGATGACTTGATATTTTAAGTTGATGCATGCTTTGGAGTAAGAGGGTGCTCAATATACATAAACTTTATAAATAAAAATCTTGCGTTCAGTGTTAACTGAATTATTACGTGCTTTGTTATGCTGATTATACTTGAGTGTTGGGTTTTGTTAATTTGTAAATATTATGGCGATATTTGTATCGAAGTTACAATATTTATGCCTTTTGTGGTGTTTGGTTTCTTGTCCTTCCGACCATGCTAGGCTTGTATGCTTTTTTTTTTTTTCTTTTGACATTGTTGTGTTGAATGGGCTTTGTCTTTTGGATTTCTAAAGTGAGGTATTGTTGACAAAAAAACTAAAATATATAAGTCATTGACTTTCATGAGCTTTGGAAGAGAAATCAATTGTGATGGATAATTTTGTTAGTTTTCTGCTGGATCTTTTAGGTATATATCAGTGCTGGTCTATTAGTGAATTAGTGAAAAAGTGTTTTATTTTATTTTGTATATTAATTAATTAAGTATTAAATTAAATTTAGTTCATAAATTACTTTCAGTTAACCACATATCACAATGTAAATAAATTATTAATTGGTTGCAAATAAATTATAAAATTGATTCAATATTTAATTGTTAAAAATTATTTGACATATTATCAATATATGTTTTTTATATTATTACTCAATCATAAATTTATGCATTATTAAAAAAATAATAACTTTCTTTTAGCAAAAAAGGAAAAAATGCAACTCTTACAACTGCTACATCAAAAGTTTTACTATTTTACTCATGTATCAATACATAATAGTGTGAAAAACTTTTTGCTAACGAAATGAAAAGACTTCCTCGTCAGAAATTAATTATATTTTAAACTCAGGAAAATGAGCTCCCACCAATTCAATAGACAAATGAGCAACAATCGCGTGAAAGCCATACCTCACCCAAGCTCGGTCATGAAAATGTTGCGTGTAGTTCACGCGAGCTTTTAGGATTGCTCCTTAGGACTACAACGCTAAATTCGGAGTCCAATTATTACAAAAAAAAAAAAAAAAAATTCGGAGTCCAATTCGTTTGGTTCCAAAGAGGAAAGACAAATGCAAATGTTAACTTCAACGGTGAATCCCACCGTCCAATTGAAGATCAAAACCTAATATCAGCACCACGTGGCAGAACATAAAATACAAAGCATTCATAATGGAGAGGACCAGTGTGTTGGTATATGCTTAATGGGTCAATTTTAGAGATAAAACAATTGCACACGCAAATCGGGGGGCCCATTGGCACACTACCTGGCAGATGACAACTACGACGGTACCAAGGTTCCTTCAATGTTGTCAACAAACTCTATAAATATAAACTATATAAGATAGAAACTGGAATAATTCCACGTAACAATGGCAATAATTTACGAACTAGCCACGTCATTAGAACACGCACCCAATTTGATTGATCCGAATCATTTTCATAAGAACTATCTGCAGGTGTTTTACAAGCTTTTCCTTTTTCTTTTTCTTTTTCTTTTTTTGTATATTTTTTTGTCCCACCAAAAAAGTGCTCCAATAAACTAGAGATTTGAAAACAAAAATTTAAAAGGTTCCCACCCTTTGCTTCCCTCCAGGCACCAGCCAGCCACTCAGCCAGTTCCTTTGCAAAGCCAAAACCTGCATCAAGCACATGAGCGGTAAACCTCTGATAACTGCCATTTGAATATTTTATAGAGCAACGGCTACTGTGAAAGGGAAGAGGGAAAAAACACTAACGACTTTTTGAACTAACTTGATATATTTCCACCCAACATACAATTCTTTTCCCTAATATGTCCTCTGTTCAAGAGAGCTAAATACCTAAATAACTAACCATAACCGTTCTATGTAAACTGAGGTTTTCAGGGCTTCCAATACTTGGAAGCAATCAACAGAACAAGAACATGAGATATATTAGAATGGCGCGTCAATGATGCTTCTTGGATGACTTTTTGAATGCTTCCACATCTTCATCTTCTTCATTGTCCTCGTCTTCATCGCCATCATCATCCCTCTTCCTCTTGGGGTGTGAAGAGGCAGGAGGCAACACCTGAACATCATCATTGTCTTCATCATCAACTTCCTCCTGCTCTTCACCATCATCATTTCCGCCATCAGCGTCAGCACGCCCAGCATTGAGAGCCTCAGCCTGTCCAACTGGCTGAACAAGATATCCAGCACCATAGTCTTCTTCCTGTGATTCCAGCAAAAATTCATAGTTTGATTAAAAAGTTGAGATAAAATCTTGAATCAAGAACAAAAATTCCATAGTTTGATTAAAAAGTTGAGATAAAATCTTGAATCAAGAATTGAGGGGGAAAAGACAGACAATATAATAAACAGTTAAAAGTAATTTTAATGAAATATAAGATACAGTTAAAAGTAATTTTAATGAAATATAATAAACAAAAAATAATATATGATACAAGCACTCCTACACTGCCACAAGCCTAATCAAATAACCATTGGCAATTACATTAGTTCTAGTAAAAGCAATTCAATGTCACAGTGCACATGGAAACATTAAAAACTTAAAATCCTTCATATCTCAAACATATCAATAACAAATTTCGAACAAATCCACATCCTATATGCTTTATCACAATTCAAGACTCAGAACAACTAAAACAGAGAAGACTCCTGTCAGAGCGTCACATAAAAAAGACTATAAAAGCACAAACAAATCCCAAGACCAGATTATTCTTTAATATCTTAGTTTACGACAAAATAAGCTTTAGAAGTACCACAGCAGAAGCAATACATTGAAACAATAAAATCTCAGCGAAGGCCAATTACGCAAATAATACAAATCTACAAACTAGCACATCATAATCTTAACCCGATAAACAAAATAACTTGAAAGACAACATATAACTATAACATATTCTTTAAAATCTTATTTTACAACAAAAATAAGCTTTAGAAGTGTAACAGCAGAAGCAGTACATGGAAACAATAAAATCTCAGAAAAGGCCAATTAAGAAAATAATAAAAGTCCCTAACCACATCATAATCTTAACCCTATAAACAAGATAACTTGAAAGACAGCAAAACATACAAACTATTATTGGTCCCCTCCTTACTTGTTACGATCCAATAAAAAGTGGAAAAAAAATGCAGACTGATGCATAACAACAAAAGAAAATGGGCTTAAAAGATGAACATAACAATCCTATAGTAATCAAAATTTGAACAAATCAAGATTGCCAAATACATGTTAAAAAAAAAAGGACAACTAACAGCAAAGCATAGGAAGGAATATTCCATATTAAAATGTAAAGAATTTTACATAATAAAATGTAAAGAATTTTACACATTAAAATATAAGAAATTTAAAGAAATGCAAACTCTGAAACTTTCGACCAGTCAAAATAGCAAACATGGTTATTAACAATCAAACTGCAATTCCAATTAAGACTGCTGTGCCGGTTCGCCTCTCTGCAAAGCATTATTTTCATCTTAATTTCTGCAAAAAAAGATGCATCCAGGACAATGCAAAAGGAAAGTAACTAAAAAAGTCCAAGTCTCTAGTACATTAGCTCACCTACACCAAAAATGAATATTTAAAAACATGGGGGTAAAGAGGTAATTAGGAAAGTCTTAATTTTGTGGGGTTGGATACCGGTAACTAGATAAATATGCAAAAAGCATTTTACAGGGATATAAAAACAACAGCACACACAATAATAATGCATACTGTTCATCAGTTAAGGCAGAGACAAGTATCTGAATTAGCATATTTTAAAAGCACAGGCAAAAAGTACTGGGTGTAGAACCAAAAAAATAATCATCAACACTATCATGCATTAAGGGCAAGGAGGAAAAAGTCTACGTTTTAACTAGCAAAACAGGCAAGACACAAGTTAGTTCAAATCCCACGCAAAGAGAAAAATCACATAATGCAAAGAAATTAAATCAAACAGACAAAAGTTCAAATCCATTAGCAAGCATCAGTCAACAGAGTTTTATGAATATTAAGAGCATCCAAAACTATCGCCCTCTCTTCAGCAATCTGACAACCTTAAAAACCAACATACCCAACCGAAATAATTAGCAAAACGAATACGGAAAAGCGGAAGATAAGTAATTAAACAAACATAAATAAAAAGCCTTGCATGCAATAAATAAAAACAAAAGTTGATCAGAAGGGTTATCTCACTTCATCGTCATCTTCAAACTCTCCATCATCCTCTACCCCTAACTCATCTTCGCCAGTCTCCCCATTGTCATCTTCATCTCCATCTTCCTCACCCTGTTCATGCCCATCAATCTCCCCTTCCGTGCTTGTCAACCGTCCAGTACTCTCAGGTTCTGCAAAAACCCCTTCATCATTGTCAACCTCTTCTTCCTCGTCATCATCCTCATCGTCGTCGTCATCATCGTCATCATCCTCCTCATCATACTCAACCCCATCCTCTTCATCATCGCTGTCATCAATCTCATGAACCTCAACCACATCATCCTCATCACCCTCCTCATCAATCTCCTCCCCAGAATCTTCCTCGTCCTCATCCTCCTCCACATCATTCCCAACCACGGGCGCAACTCGAAACCCATTCTCCTGTTGGCTGTTCAACCCATTCACCCTCTGCCTCGACGTCTCCGTCACTTCTTCATCCGCATCACTCTCCTCATCTTCATCAGCATCAACAACTCCATCAACCCCTTCACTGTGCCCGTTGTTCATCCCGAAGTTTCGATCTTCTTCCCCATCAATCTCCCCACTACCAGGGTCATCCTCCTCCTCCTCCTCATCCTCCTCTTCGTCCTCATCATCAGACTCAGGCCTCTCGTTCTCCTCCGCATCCATCTTATCCAAGTACTTAAGAGACTTAATCAACCCAAAAACCCTAGATCGATAATCCTTAACCCGCGTAACGGGACACTCATACAGATCCAGCGAAACAAGCTTCACCTGCGCGAGTGGCGCGAGATCCTCAATATACTGAATCCGATTGTTGGAAAGATCAAGGTCCCGCAGTGAATCCAACCCAGCCTGGACCAGAAACTCGAGTCCACCGGCGATTCGGTTGTCGGAGAGGTTCAACTTCTGAAGATTCCGAAGCCGCGGGAACTGCTCCAGCGACGAAACGCCGACGTTTGCAATCGACAGGTGCTGAAGGTTCTCGAACCTCTCCAGAAGGCTCGGAGGTGGTAACCGTCCCTGGACACACTTAACGGCGCCGTCTAGGGTTATCGTTCGAGCCGAGGCGTGGTCCTTCTCGCCGTCTAACGCCGTCTCCACAGCCCTCTCCCAGATCTCATCCATCAAATACGAAATCCTATATCTCATACAAAACCTTACACCGAAAATCCAAGCACTTCAGAAATAACCTTTAACCTAGAGCATCGAAGAAAGAAACCTGAGACTGAGACTGCAGCTATGTATGAAATTTGAAAAATCACACGACCCGAGGTATTGATGATGAACGTGATTGGATTCAATGGTTAGTTTCAGGGAATGAAGGGATTGAATTGAACACCCAATATTTTTAGTGTGGAAATTCGGAACACAATGGTTTTTGTTTCTCTCTCTAACTCTGTTTTATAATTTCTCTCTCCTTCGTCTACTGGGTTAGGGGAGATGAATCGATGATAAACCTCTCTCTCTCTCTCTCTCTCTCTGTGGTGGCAAACGGGTTCCCGTCGCGGTTCGGGTCTGCTCTAGGGTTCAGGTGAGGTGAACCTTTGAGGCTCGAGGCGTTTTGTCTTGTTGTGTGAGGGGCCTTTGTGGACCGTTGGATCTAGAACGACGAGGATCGATGACGTGGACAAAATGGATGGCTGAGATTGTGAATTTCTGTGTTTGTTTTCGAGAAGGGTGTAGCGGGGATCGGACTGGCCATGTTCGAGCACGTCACGGATTATGTAAATATCGGAAAAAGCATTGATATTTGCATTCTTTCTGTCTAAATTTACAAAAATGCCATCCATGAGGAGCGCCTCTGCCATGCAAGTCTGAAACCGATGGTGGAAAAAATCGTGATTCCTGACGTTTCCATTTCAAGTGTTCTTATTTTCAATTTAATATTATTAAATATATTCATATGTACTATCTATTTATCTTAAACTTTGCCCAAGTGATGAATGATACATACATATTTTTTATTTGCGACGATAAAAAATTTAATTAAATTATTCAATGTTTTTTCGCGATTTATATTTATCATGTATATTGTCTAATTAAAAACGTTATACTAATATGTTTACATATAAATAATGAAAAATAAAGAAGTATCAAAATATAAAATATAATTCACATGTCAAAATAAAGTAACAATACAATTATTAGATAATAAAGTAAATAACTTGAAAAAATACCAATCAACATTCTATAAAATAAACAATAGAATTAAACATTATACATTTATACTAGTTTTTGATTTTTTATTTCTCAGCCACTATATTTTATTTCTACCTTTAAACTATAGTCAATATATATATATATATATTACAACTACATGCAGTAATATAGATTTGACATATTAGATCAATGCTTGCGAGGATGCTCTATCAATTAAATTTTTTATGGATTCATAACATGTGTGAGTCTATGACCGATAAATTTATCTTATATATAATAGTCTTTCTAAAAAATCACATGCAAAATATAATAGATAATTAATTATAAAAAGAAATATGGATTGTAGAAACTAAGAGTCAATAACATGTTTACCAAAAAAAAAGTCAATAACATATTATTACACATTAACTTTATGAAAATATATATAAAGATAGTTCTAAGAAATTTATTTAACAAAATATTGTATAGACTAAAATCTATTTAATAGTTAGAAGTCATTAATATGAAAAAAAAAATAACAAAATGATTTAAAAAATAAAAAATCATTATGTTAATCATTTATCATTTTAAAAATCATATATAAAGGATATAATTGAAATTCATCGTCACATTACACACATTACACGACAAAATATTTCTATCACTTAATATTTCTTTGCCTTGCATGTGCATCTCATGATTATGATACATAACATCTACATCTGCGTATATATGGAACTCAAGATATAATGGTTTTGGCACCCATTACAAGATATTCCTAAGGATTCCATCTAACAAAAATTGATACCCGCATACACAGAGAGGTGACCTTTCAGCAATTCACCTTTTTGTACGCTTGCATAAACAAAGGGCAACCATCTTCTTCCATTGACCACTACTCTACCCTACATTCACCTCCCCCTTGAACATGAAAGGAATATTACTTGGCAATGAGGTCACCCATGCATTTTAAGGAGTTTGGTTTATTGTAATGCGAGAAGGATGCTCATGGACGATGAAAGCTCATATGATATCATGTTTTAGGACATCTTCCAAAAGTTGAATCTAGACAACAATGACCTCAAACTCCGCACTGTCGAACTCATTAGCTTTAATGGAGAACGATCACCTCCTAAGGGGTCAATTGAGTTAATGTCGACTTTAGGAACCCGAGAGATGTACAGATCAAAACAAGTGTGGTTCATATAGGAGATTACACATCTACATGCAATGTCATCCTAGGCAGATCGACAATCCATGGCATCGGCGCAATGGTTTCGACCATCCACCAAGAAATGAAGTTCATTGGGACAAAGAATGAAGTGATAAATGTGAAAGGAGGTCAGAGAGCCTCGGATACCTCCTACTTTGAAATAATGAAAATCATCACTAGAAGGTTGTCCTCGCCTCTACAAAACTATTATGGAGAGCTAGTTAAAGGTAAAGGCAAGGAGGTAAAACCAAAGGACAACTCAATCATGTTTATCGAGCTGAAGATGAGTGAAACTGACCAGCAACCAATGCCAAAACCTCAAAAAGAATTAAAGAAGCTAGTACTTGGAGAGACCCTAAAGAGCACACCAAAATAAGAGGAGCTTTGGAGCCTAACCTTAGAAAAAAGTTGATATGTTTCCTAAGAAGAACCGAAATGTCTTTGCTTGGAAGCCATTAGATATATCGAGAACTAATCCAAACTTTTGTTACCACATTCTTTATGTGTACCCAGGTGCTCAATCAATTTCTCAAAAAAAAAAAAAAAAAAAGGAAGATCAGCCCAGAGCGCAAGCAAGCAAAAAGGATGTTAAAGAACTCCTAAAAAATTGACTTTATATATGAGATCCAATATACCACCTAGCTCACCAATGTTATGTTGGCAAATAAAGAAAATGAGAAATAGCTTGTATGTGTAGACTACATTGACTTGAACCTGGCCCACCCAAAAGATTTATATCTCATGCCTAATATAAACTAGATTTTTAACGAATCCTCAAGATTTCAACTATTTTCTTTTATGGCCGCCTTGTCAAAATACAATCAAATTCACATGCACCCCAGAATGAGGAAAAGATTGTCTTCATCACCTAAAAGGTCAGTTACTACTATATGACAATGCGATAACTCGGGTAATTGAGTTATCTAATTATGAGATTTCTAATGAATCTCTCCATGCCATTAGTCTCAGGCTTTGACTGACTTCTTGGTTGAGCTAACACATGTGGGTATAAGGTATGTTTTGATGATAATAAAGAGGCAAAAAAAAATAGCATTGATCAATAGTAAAAAGCATCAACTATGCGTGGAGATTGAAGATATATGATGGCAAGAACATATATGAGCTATAAAGAAAGCTAGCAATGTATCAAGAGTAACAACGAAGAATAAGAGGAGAAAATCAAAGATCAAAGGCAACAAACCATGGACAACCTTGAAGAAAAGTTTAAACCTACAAGTCATGGTAAAAGATATCAAATCCAACAAGCTTCAAAGTATTTCAAACCCTTGGTTTACCATGTTTTTAGGCTACTTTATAGAAGGATTACATAGTAGATTGCATGGAAATTAAGGTTTTACAGTATAAAATCATAAAGAATGGATTTCTAGCTAACATGTGATAATCTTGCTTATTTTGAAGGTATTTTGACATAAAATAATGCAAGGAGATGTTGAATACCGAAGAAAGCCTCAAAGAAAGCAAGTTACAAGCAACTCACAGACTGATGGAGAGCGTTTTAGCGCCCAACAACGCGTTAAAACGCCCTAAAGAAGTAAAATAGTCAAAATCCACTGGAGGAGAGCGTTTTAGCGCCCAACAGAGCGCTAAAACGCCCTAACAGCACAAAGTTCCTTTCGAAAAGAGCGTTTTAGCGCCCATATGAGCGTTAAAATGCTTTAAGGCAGACAACATTATACTGTGAGAGCGTTTTAGCGCTCTAATGGGCGCTAAAACGCTCTGATGCGTAAAAATTCAGGCCCAATTATTATCAATATCCAAATTAAGATTTGAATGAAGATTTGAAGGAGATTTGAATGGAAATTAAAAGATATGTTTCTCCTCTATAAATAAAGGGCCTTAGACCAAAAAAAATTCAACAACGGAGAGGTGTCTGAAGAAGCACAAGGAGGAATCCTGTTGTGGAGCATTGGAACACTGAGGAACCAAGTCAACATCACACCAATGGAGGCTTAGGGTTCTCTTTTCTTTATTATTGTTTTTCAATTCAGTATGCTAGGCTAAACTTTTATGTAGTTAGAGGTAGATGGAATCCAATTGAATCCTTATGTTTATAAATTAAATTGTCTCTAAATTCTTCTCCTTTTATATTTGAATAAATTTATCTTTCTTTAATACTTTCTATGAGTTTTCTCCTTATAGATTGATTTAGGGGAATTGTATGACAATAGGGATGTTGGTGCATGAACCCTGACTTGATAAATTTATCATAATCATTTTGATCTAGGGATAGACATATGGCAATTGTGCAATCTTTAAATTCTTGATCTTAATGCATGTTTTCTTGGGGAATAATCGGGGAACTAGTGTTCTTTCAAGATCACATAGATTTAGGATAACAAGGAATTTAGCCCTGATTAACTTAGAATGAATTGATTGGCATTATATTAAGAGCAGATTCTTGACAGTTTAATTCATAGCATATAGAGGAGATTGAGGGAAGTCGAAACCATAACTATGCTTTTTTTAATCTTTAATTCAATCATCTTTCCAATTGTTTTTAATTCCGAATTTTAATTTTCATGTTATTAATTTTTTTCAATTTTAATTCTCTTAATCTCAATATTGATTGTCCAACTAAACCGCGATTAGCGAACTAGTGTTTGAAAACTCAATCCTAGTGGGAACAATCTCGTACTCAGTATACTTTATTACTTTACGACCGGTGCACTTGCCGAGTCGCAACAGTTGTAAAGAAAGCTAGCAATGGATCAAGAGCAACAACGAAGAATAAGAGGAGAAAAATCAAAGATCAAAGGCAACAAACCATGGACAACCTTGAAGAAAAGTTTAATCCTACAAGTCATGGTAAAAGATGATCAAATCCAACAAAGCGTCAAAGTATTTCAAAACCAACAAATCAAGCATCTAGGTTGAAGTGAAGATCAAGATCCAATAAGTTAAGTCCTTGTCCCTATTGGATCATACTTTTTGGACTTAGATTTAATTATAAGGGTATATGTTGAATTGCATTGCATGAGCTCAATATTGATTAATCTATCAATATTAAATGACTCTTATACAAGTCATGTTTGCATGCTTTTCAAACAAAGAAAAATAAGTTACATATGCTAAATATGATAATCCCTTTTTACAAGAGCTAAGAATGTGCATGTAATGATTTTTTTTAATCATATTAGTTTT